TGCCAGTATTTATTATTTGAATGATATCTTACATTTAAAAAATCTATTGCAACAAGACACATTTATGCTAAAATAGAGAAGCAAAATGCTGATGTGAAAGTCATGACAGGGAAGCTTTTATACACCTTGGTTTTGTTCTTCTCTCTTCATCTTAAGAGATTTTTAAAAAGCAACGAACCCGCTCTGCCAAGAACCATGAGGCACGAGACAGTAACTATTGTAGACAGGAGATTTCTTTTTCATTCATTCATTTATGTATTTATTTAGAAGAATACATTTGAAGAAGCACCAGCAACCTATACTTTTTTTGTTTATTTTCAATACATGACATCTTTGACTGCTACAGTTCAATCAGTAATCTGGGATTTGATATTATAAACTCCTTTCCTTTCATCTATTTCTAAGAAGTACATTTACTTTTATAGGATGCCAGAAGGTGTGTATCCTCAAACATAGCTTCATTTATCAGTAGACACTGTGCCTCCAGCGGGATAAAGGTAGGGGATTCCCATCCTTACATCACAACTAAAGACTCCGTTTATTCAGACCGCAGGTCTTCACAGTGGTTCATTCTCCACAGTATCCCACAATCCAGTAGATTCCCTAAATTTGTTCTCGTCTTTATTAATTAGGGATTGACTAAAATTCATCTACACAGATTGAATGTGTCCAGTGTAATAAAATGATTTATTTTGTAGGTCCTTTTAGACCCATAAGAGATACCTTTGTAATAATGTGACCTATTCCTCTTCAGCTATTTTTTCCTTTAATCAGGAAAAACACATGCAGTACAGTTAATAAACCATACTAAATGCTAATTATTACAGTATTTAGTGCTGTGCATCTTTGCTGTTAAAGATTGAATGTCTTTTTTGCAGCGTGAATTATTTTTGTGCCTTTGATGTTTCTACATGGTAATCCTCAGGTTAGGCATGCCAGGGCATGTTTATAGCATAGATGATTTATGGTAGTCTAGTGCACCTGGCTAAAATAAATTATACATTTATAAAACAGACCACATTTATGTTTTATCTCCAAAAAAATGAAACAAAAGGAAAGAAAAAAACTAACAAACTTACTCAGTTAGGATCAAATTATGTTCAAGTTTCATACAGAGTGTTGTCCTCTTGACTGACAGACTGATGAGATCAGCTCAAGTTGGTTTCATCAGTGTAACGTGTATTATTGTATCACCAGTGTGTGAATGTGTGTGTGAATGGGTGGATGACTGGATATGTAAAGCGCTTTGGGGTCCGTAGGGACTAGTAAAGTGCTATATAAATACAGGCCATTTACCATTTATTCACATAGCCACCCATGTCTTTTAAAAAATTGAATTCAAATGTTGTTATGTGGTTAATTTTTGTAGATGTTATATTTTCTGGAAATTTAGTTTTGAAACCTTCATATAAACTGACTAAAAATAAGCGAAAATATGGCTCTCTTACTTGGACAGCATGCTATACTTGAATACAGTTTAGCTTACTGTAATTGAAGCTTGGTATAAAAGGTTTGAATGGTCAAAGGTCAGTTTA